TGCTAGGGCCCGGGAGGGAGCAGGGGGAGGGAGTGTTAACAGTTACCGCTGCGATTGCAGCGGCACTTCTGCTTTCCCGGGGGCTTTAACGTCGGAGCGGAGCTGAGCGAAGGCAGACGGGAGGAGAGGACGCCCGGGGAGGCAGGAGCAGAGGCCGGAGTGGGACGTCGCGGCTCGGAGCAGCCATGGGGGATGCCTTTATCCGGCACATTGAGCTGCTGGGCTACGAGAAAAGGTTCTTCCCCAGCCAGCACTATGTGAGTATGCAACGACCTTCTGACAAGCTTAGTAGTGAGGACTGGATGTGTAAAGAGCCTGGACAGTAAATCTGTTAGATAAATATGACCAAGAGCCTAGGAGCATGACACCCCCCCCCCCCCCCCCCCTCTTCTCTTTGTTGGGTGTGTCATGGCTGATGGGTGAGATGGATGGAGCCAAAGGCTAAAATGTACTGAACATACAAGTTTTGGGGCACCTCCTTTGCAAGCCACTGGTTACTTTGCAGACTTGGAAAGGGCTTTACCCTCTTTGATTCCCACTTGTCTGCATGTTTCTGCCCCCTCTCTGTCTTTGGTGAACTTCCCTAGTGCCCAGGTCACTGGCTACCTGGGCAGAGCTACTCGCAGTGGGGTAGTGGAAGAAAAGCACAATCTATTTGAAATGGAAGCACCCATAGGGCTTCAGCCTCCAGAGTTGCAGCTCCTCTGCTTTGCCCCTCAGGTCTACATGTTCCTGGTGAAGTGGAATGACCTCTCTGAAAAGCTTGTCTACCGCCGCTTTACTGAGATATACGAGTTCCACGTAAGTTGTCCCAGGGTGGGCACCAGCCCTTGCCCCAGCACGCCAGGGCTCGGGTTGTGGAAAAAGAAAGTGAATTCAAGCTGATCTTGCCCCAAAATAAACCTGACTTGGAAGAAGCTCATAGGTGCTAGTGCTTCAATGTCCTTTGCCCCTAGTAAGGGGGAGCCATCATCTCTGTGCTCCCCAGGCAGATTTCTCCCAATGTCCCAGGGTCCAGCCAGCATGTTCTGGTAGGAGTGGGGTGAGCGTGAGAAAGGGGTTGCTCCAAGGGGGTCTCCTGATGCCATCCTCATGGCCATGCCTGGCTCTGCTCCACAGAAAGCACTGAAGGAGATGTTCCCCATTGAATCCGGGGACATCAATATGGAGAAACGGATCATCCCGCACTTGCCAGGTGAGGGACAGGCACTGGGGCTGGGGGGTGAAACAGAAATTGCACTTGGTTGGGAAATTCCCCAGTGGGCCAAGCTCTGCCAGCTTCCTCCCGTGCAGGTGCTTGGTGCCATTTCTGTTCCTGCCCACTGGGCTTGAAAGAAACCAAACCCTCAGAAAGGTCTGAGCAGCAGCAGCAGTTTATCCCAAGACTCACCAGCCCTGCAGATCCTGTCCTTCCTCCCCAAAGGCTGGGCACCCTGCAGACACATCCACAGCATTAGCTATGGGAACCCCTGGATGGTGAAAAGGGTCTGGATTTGGGGTGCCTGAGCTGAGTCCTCCTTCAGTGACACTGTCACTGGGTTTGGTTTTAGTGCCCTTATGGCAACACATATGTTGTAAGAGGAAGCAATGCAATATGTCTTCAATGACAGGAAATGAACTTATGCAAAGAGCTGATGGTTTGTCCCCAAGCAAGGTGCAGGTCAGCAAAATTCCCCCTTTATTTAATTTCCTGCTTTAAAAGGAGGCAGGGAGGAGCATGAGATATAGCTGCAGGTTGTGGTTGACACCTCTTGAGGAGGAATAAACCTGCATCCTGCAGCAGTGTGGGTACCATGTTTAGGGGGGTCTCCCCTCGGGGCTGGACTAACTGCTGTGACAGGACCCTTCCTGTGTGCTGTCACCAGCATACTGTGGCTATTTGGAGCTTCTTTGTCTCCTTTGGGGAACTGAAAGCACCAGTGTCGAGGCAGGCATTGGACTGGTGCAGAGCGTGTGAGGTGCCACTATGCCACCAGCCACACACATGCACCCCAACATGGGGCTCAACTCTGCTGTGAGCAGCGCTTTGGAGCCCTGGGTCAAGGGTGGCTGCTGCAGGACATGTGCCATGGTCAGTGGGATGGAGGAATGTGCATACCTTCCATAGCCGCAAGCAGATCCTGAGCTCCTCCTTTGTGTCCTGTTGCAGCTGGGCTTAGGATGTAGTGATTATCCTACATCAAGGATGTAGGAGTTACCCTGAAACTGTAATGGGGTCAAACAAGTTCCTTTCTGGGCTTACACCAGCCATGCAAGGGTCCATGGGCTGCAGGGGATAAGTCCAAATGCACAGAGCTCTCCTCCATGCCACCCATGGTCCCTGGGCTAGGCATTGCACCAGGCTCAGCTCCTCTGCTGCACTGCTGACATGAGGAACCCATGGCTGCAGCACAGCTGCAAAATAGCCATGGCCCTGCACCCAGCTTCTCCCCAGGTTTTTGGGCACTGGGCATGTCCCCCTTATGCCTGCCAAGGCTGGAGTAGTGAGGGAGGAGATGGAGCCATGCTCCCACAGAGCTTCACTTTATGGGCACCATGCAGCCATGCAGCACCCCGGGGTCAAATCCACTTGTTTTCAGGGCAAAATTAATGATTCAGAGCAGCCTGCTTGGGAAAGTAATCAAAACAGGGCACTCTGTCTGACTTTTCTGAGTCGCACTCTGTCTGACTTTTCTGAGTCTTTTCCCCTCTCCCCCAGCACCAAAGTGGTTTGATGGGCAGCGCTCAACCCAGAACAGGCAGGGCACACTGGCTGAGTACTGCTACACGCTGGTCAACCTGCCTCACAAGATCTCCCGCTGCCTGCACGTGGTCAACTTCTTCAAGGTCCGTCACGATGACATGAACCCCGTCACAGACAGCCAGTGAGTCCAGCTGCCTCCCGTTTGGAGAGAAATCCTGCATTCCCAGCCTAGTGCCAGCAGTGAGGGGTGGTTGGCACTGAGCTGCCTTTGCTCTGACCCATCTAGGATTAGGAAGTTTTTTTTGTAAGAGTGCCAAGAAAACCCCCACCGGTAAGAGGCCTTGGAGGGGTGTAAGTGGCTGCCTCAGCAGCAGCAGAGCCTGGCAGGGAGATGGGCAGCCATCCGTGGCTCTGATGAAGAGCATGGTCTCTGTGCCAGAGCTGAATTGCAGCCCCAGGGGAATGAGTCTCTGTCCTGGGATCCAGTTCGTTTAGGACCAGAAGAGGCTGGGAGAGCACTTTGGGCTGTCCTGGGGCTGCTTTTGGCTTGCCTGAAGTGGGGAACATCTCTTGCTTCTCCCATACAGACATCACGGGCCCCATTGTCCTGCAGACCTACCGAGCTATTGCTGACTACGAGAAGAGCTCCAAAACCGAGATGGCTCTACAAGCTGGGGACATGGTGGATGTTGTGGAGAAGAGCGAGAACGGTATGTGTCCATCTCCCCAGAGAGCCCCTGAGGGCCAGCCCGATCCTGGCCACCATTGCAGCAGGGATGGGGACTGCCCCTGCATCTTGTGTCCAAACGTGAGTTAGTTATGCTGGTGCATGGGTTAAAGGGTAGGTGGTTGTATCAGGGTCTCCTGGTGGAGAGGCTCAGAGCAAATGTAACCAGCCTCTCGGCACTTCCCACCTCCTTGGGACATGTTTCACATTCAGATGGAGACACATGACAGTCAGTTTTGGCCAGGGAGGGTGAGGGGCAATCTCTGCAACCTTCTCACATGCCTCAGCCTGGTTTCCCGCCCAGGAGGAAGCAGGATGAACTGGCCAACCTCCCTGGTTGCACCATGTAAACAGAGACCAGCCCTGGCGCTGTCCCTTCCGTCCAGGGCACGTGGGTGCCTGCACCCTGGTGCTGGTGTCCTCACAGCACTCTCTGCTCTTGCTCATGGCTGCTTTCCTTGCAGGCTGGTGGTTTTGCCAGTTAAAGAATAAACGGGGCTGGGTGCCAGCATCCTATCTGGAGCCGATGGACGGTCCTGATGAGTCTGAAGAGCAGGAGCCCAACTACGCAGGTGAAATGTTGGGGTAACCAGGGTGTGTAGCAGAGCAGAGCCTGCCACAGCTCCCCGCTGGAGTGGGTCATTCAACAGCCCCAGCTGGGCAGTCCATTTTTTTTTATGTTGCTGTAGAAGCTGCCAGGAGGGATAAATCTGATGGCTTGGTGCTTCAGTGTCAACCTCAGGAGCTTCCCATGACCTGCAGCTCAGCATTAGTTGCTTGTTTTGGCTGATCACAGATGCAGAGCTTCATACAGTGGCCATCCTGGGCTTGCTGCGTGAATACTCAGTTGCTGGGTTAGCAAAGGAGCGTGGTGCAGCATCTGAACCTAGGTGCAGGCTTTTCCCAGCGCTTGGCTCCTGCACTGTCCTCATCCATGACAGCAGTTTATTGCACAAGAGCAGAGGGAAGATCCTGCAGGCTCATGTTAATTGCTCTCCCAGCTTCGTGTTTGTGGTTTTCAAAACACTGCAGCAGACTCTATTAGCACAGCACTTCCTTCTTCCTCATTTAATCACCCAAATTATAAACATGCTTTTCAGCAGAGATAGATGTGCTTCCACTGCTTGCATTCACCAGCTTTCTCCTGGAGAGGAGCCGGAAGGGCTTGGATGAGCCGCAGGCACTGTCAAGGCTGGAGGAAGTCTGAATCCAGACTTGGAGACCTGGGTCTTGCCTAAAATGTATGGTAGATGCTCTGGTGCTTCCTCTCGTCAGTGCTGGAGAGGCTGAGCCCCATCCCTAGGGAGGTAGCACACAACCTGCTGACCCGATTTTGTGTGCAGGTGAGCCATACATTGTCCAGAAAAGCTACACAGCCATGGAGGAGGATGAGCTGACCCTCAAGGAGGGTGATACCATCGAGGTCATCCACAAGCTCCTTGATGGCTGGTGGGTCATCAGGTGAGAGATGCCAAGAAGGAATCAGGCAAACGGGATTGGGGCAGAGGGAAGGGATGAGCCAGTAGCTCTCTGCACTGGGGCTGTAGGTGCTGCTGCCCAGCACTTTCTCTTGCAGGGCTGCTTCTAGTAGCCTGTGATTTTGCCAGATGTTAAATGTTGCAGCTGGCACTTCCTCTGCTGTGGGCTTACGAAATATCCAAGGAGGCAGGTAGAAAAAACCCTGTTGTGTTGTCTCTGAGTATTCCAGCACAACTTCCTTTACAAAACCTCAGCTTTGATCCCAGCCTGCCCTGCACACTTGGGCTTTCCCACGGGGAATCCCAGCTGCTTTTATGCTCTGGAGAGTCACACACTGTGCATTCGCAGCAGGACATGGTGTAGCTGCAAACCCTGGGGATCCTCCTGCACCAGCCTGTGCTTGGGCACATGGCACCAGGAGGATCTCCTGGTGTTTGCAGATGTGCTGGGCTGGAGGGGGACATGGGCCAAGGGACCAGGGTGCGTTTCTTGAGCACACAGCAGCAGCGTGTCTGATGCCTGAGGGATGCTTCAAGAGCCCAGAGAATCCCCCAGGGGAGGTAGTATGAGCTGGTGAGACCCTGAAAGCTGTGAGCCGTTGCTCTTTCTGCTCCCTACTTGCTTCTGGGACTCAAGCCACACTTCCAGGGAGAGCCACAGGCACACAAGGTGTGGGGACAGTCAAAGCCCCCTTCACTGCAAGCAACAGGAGAAATAACCACCCAGCAGCAGCTGTGGACAGGCATGAGGAGGTGGTAGTTACAGAGCCACGACTGCAAGTGATGTTGCTTTGTGTTGCTGTGCAGGAAGGATGAAACGACAGGTTATTACCCCTCCATGTACCTGCAGAAAGCCGGGGAGGTGAACACCTCTGTGAAGAGTGAGCTGAGGAACCGGAGTGCTCCTCCACGGAGGTAGGAGAAGCTCTGGGGGACAGGAGGGACTAAAGCTCTTCTTCGAGTGGGGTGAAACTAAACCAGACAGAGATTTGTGGTGTGCCTTGCCTCCCTGGCAATGAGGAGCTGCCTGGGAGAGATGTGAGCAGGGCAAAGACAGACCAGGGGGGAGACCCCCTGCAGCAAAAATAGCTCTGTGCTCTCCAGCTTCCACAGGCAGAGAGGCACCCCAGCATTCCTGATGTAGGAATTCATGATCCTTGCTCCAACAGGTCCTCCAGCCAGGCATATTTCTCCTTGTCCTTCTGCAGTTTCTTTTCTGGGCTAATCAAGTTTAATTTTCAAATTGGCCTTTTTCTTATTTACCAAGTGTATCCACTGAATCTTTGAGAAGCGAGGAGAGATTTGACTAATCAGAGCTGCCACTTGGCCTAATCTGATAGGAGGATTTGAGCTAATGGAAGGGATTTTATTCTGATTGAAAAAAAAGATGAAAAGCAGTAATAACTTATTAATTCTGACACAAAGAAAACTGCTGGGAAGGGCAGAGGTTGCTTCTATCTTTTCTTCCCTACAAGAAAACATGCTATAAAATCCTTCAAAATCCAGCTCTGCTGGAGCACGGATTGAGTGTGAAACACCGTGAAATGGCCCAGATCCACCTATTGGAGTGCAGTGATGCTTACCGAAGCCCTTAAGGTAGGGTGGTGGCACGTGTCAAGGACAGTGACCTGCCCCCAAGCGTGAACGCTGTCCCTATGGCTCTTTTGACAGCTCATCCAGGCTGAGGCCTGTTGCAAAGGTGGTGACCTGCTGCTGTGGGTAAGAGCTCTGGGATCAGATGGGGTGTGTGCTCAGAGCAGGGAGGGTGCACACTGCCTTAAGCAGAGCAGGAGGACAGTGCCATGGGATGGGTATCAGAAGCCACCGTGCTCATGCCCTGGTAGTGAAGACAAAGTGGTGGCCTCCCTCTGCCTATCTGTGGACTGCCGCTCAGCCTTTCACTTCTCTCAGCAGTTCCTCTGCTGTGGGTTCAACACTGCACATCCAGGTGCACACTGACACATATCCCACATACTGTTCTCGTGGCCCAGGGACTGATTCTTGGGTGTCAGGGAGCCAAGCCAAACCCCACACCAGGGATCTCAGTGTTGCAGCCAGTATAGATGCTGTATATCCTTTCATCAAAGAGTTATAGATCACTTCCAGGGCTTTCTTTGATAAACCTCATGCCCATCTCATCCTTCCAGCCTTGTGCCCAATCTACCTTGTCATCTCCATCACTGCTTTCCAGACTTGTGCTCAGGCTTCACCCTTCAGTATATGCTTCCAAAGCACCACTCCAGCTGCCTCCTAACATGTTGTACATCACGTCTCACCTACAGCTGCCCCCAAGTGCTGGCTTCCACTTGCTGCTTTCCACTGGTCAAAACCAAACAGCAGATGCTGTGGTTTGGGTGAGGCAGAGGAGGAAGTGTGTGCGTGGGGAAATGCTCAGCAAGGGAGTGCACAGTGCGAGACTGCTGGCATGGAAACTGAAAGTTTTGTTTCTAACTCACTGCAGATCCACCATCCGGAACGCGAAGAGCATCCACAAGCAGAGACGGAAGCAGATCAGCCAGGAAACCTACAGGAGGAACAGCAGAAAGTACATCCAGAGCAGGAGGAACATGAAGGAGAATTTCCAGAACAAAGTCAATGTTATCTGTGAGTCTCAACAGGGCCTTTGCCCTGGGCATGGGCTGAAGTCCCGCAGGCATGGCCCATACCTTCTAGTGCTGGTTGATGGAGTAGGACAACACACAGAGGCCACAACTTGTCTGTCCACCCTTTTCCTATGGCGAAAGCGTGTGCAGGGAGGTGTTTCTTTTCAGTGAGATTTCTTGCCTCTGTTTATAGGTCTGACAGAGAAGGAGCAGAATATGGTCCTTGTGAGAGGTCAGCCCACATTTAGGACCTTTCCTCCGTGCACCTAAGCTCACCTGTGCTGCTGTTACCATTACCATTATCATGTACATTAGCTGTCAGGAAAGCACTTAGAGGGAAGTGCTGCATGAAGAAGGAGGCTGCTGTTGTTTCTTTAGATCTGGTAATCCCCATGCAGGACTCACAGATTTCCCAAGAGAGAGCAGCTCCTTGCGCAGACCTAGGGCTGGGCTTCCAACTGGGCAGAGCTCCCAGCTGGGTACTGGTGGGCTCATCCCACCACCCTGACCTCCAGGAAGACCATCACATACACCTGAGACAGGAGGAGAGGCAAGAGCTTTGGTAGCCATTACATAGGAAGCTTTTGAACACTGACATGAAGGTGTTGGGTGGTGGAAAGCCCTTGACCCATCTGTACATCTGCTTTACCCACAGTTGAGAAAAAAGAGCCAGAGGAGAACAAGCCCAAGGCTCAACCTGCTGTTCCTCCCCGTCCCAGCAAAGACCTCATCCTGAACAG